ACGGCACACTTGTAGTATTTGGGGCCCATCATTAGCAGGCTTAATAAGAATCGGCAGATCTTCGTTCGAGATGGTCACATCGATGTCATATATGACGCCTGTAGTTGCCTGATTTCATAGTGGAATGATAGTGTGAACATTCATGCCGCCAAGGACGGTAACTTTGCTCAGTGAATCTAACGCTGACGCTGGAGCAACGTCCACTGCTACAACATTTTTCCGGGGATTCACTCTGATATCCTTAATACTGTTCGGCACCAGTGCCTCGAGCTCTGAAGATACAGCTTGCCTGTTCAGTAGTCTCATGTTCATGGATGATTGCGTAAGCAAGAATAGGACGGTGTACCTCAGCGGGCTTTGCGGGGCCCTCCCAGCAGATGCGTCCATGGATGCCCTGAGCATCCTCCGCTTTGCTTTCTGGCTCATGACGGTCACGTATTCGTCGTCGGAGCTGTCGACGCTCTCGGCAGTGCCAATGAGGGTAGCCTCGCTGTCACTGGAAAGGCAGTTTCGCTTCCTTGAGGCTGCCGGCGCTGTCGCCAGCCACTCAGGTGGGCGTGCAGATGAGTCCACTTCCATCGCCGCCGGCAAGGGAACTACGTTCCTTGTATAACTGCGAAAATAAGTTAAAAGTCTGAAGATGAACGGCAAACACTCAGCTACAGCAACACTTCGTCTTCTTCCCCTCTCTGCTACCTAAGGGTAGCATGTACAGTATATATCTAGAGGAACTACCCCATCTGCTGACATGGTTAGAGTGGAAATGGTATATAACTAAGCTCTCCTTCTTTTACTGTTGGTGTTTGTTACGCTCGGCCTCTATACGTACCTAGCGAGGCAAACTCTAAAGCCTGGAGAAATAATCGATGTTTGTTCTACCAGTTTTTTCATGTTTATTTGCTCCACGTTTGGCGAACGTTTGAACTCACATAAAACAACTTGACTTTCTTATTTTTTTAGATAGAGCTACCACCAACTAAAACCTGTGAGATTTATGATTTTATTAGAAGTATTTTGTTTGAAGCACTGGGTTATCAGGTTAGTGAGCACAAGTAGATACAAGACACAGTATGCACCAATATGCAATAGTCGTTGGTAATTGGCGTCTAAAAAAATACAGCTTCTACGGAGGCAGCAGGAACTTGACCTATATTTACTGCTGCCTTGTAGGTCGCCTAATAAAAAAAAACATTATCTTCATATAATCCTAGAAAGGGGCCAGCTGCTTCATTATACAGGTGTTCAGAGTATCAGCTTGTATAGTTCTGTCGCTTCATCAGTAATGTTTGACCAAGTACCGCCACAAACTGCTGAATTCACACAGTAATAATTCGTAAACTTTTTGTCACAGCACTAATAACCTTCACACGGAGACTAAGTGTAGTGTAGTCTACAGAACCACTAAAAATATGGTTCTGCTTCGAAAAGAAAAAAAAAATCGGCAGATCCCACGTGCCTTGGGAATCGTTACGCGAAGCGTGTGGAGGGAAAGTGGGTGTGTCGCAATTTTTTTATTAAGCGACACATCATGAAATGACGCTCATGTACATATTTAGCGCCATTTCATGGCGCTAAATTTATATACAATAGTCGCACGCGCAGACAAACGTTGAAGAGTTGCAGATGTTTATATAACCAATGGTTTGCACTTGCACAACGATGCCAAGTGGAACATGCGCATTAGCAACACCAGAACCTGATATGGAGCGCTCATGCTCGCGAGAATGCTGACCCTGGACACTGCTACATAAATCAGCTTCAATGCAATGCACCTAACCAAAATTAACGTTAACCCCACGTGATGGCTGTATCAAAAGAGTACATTTGTAATCTTTATATATTCGATAGGCAGCACTGCAACCACTATTCACGTTTGAGGAAGATTAGTGTCTATTCAAAAATTAGTTCCGAGACCTGGCGTAGCACTGTTGTAAAATGCTTTATTGTCACGCAGTATGCTTGGGCTCAATTCCAAGTGGGACCCTCACATTCATTCTTTGCTTTCCTCAAGTCGAAGCTACCGATGTCAGGTATTTCTTAACGCTCGCTCGTTAAAATTGCCCATGTGTGCTCTCCTCATTCCTCGGTAGATACCAAGTGTCAATCACCTGTATCACATACACGCATATCAGGGGCACATACTCACCCGTGGGTATGTGCCGCTGTCTGGCGGGAAGTGTTTGACGACGTACGCGACGAGAATGAGACATTTTTCATGTTTTGATCAGCACTTCATATTCGTGAAACCATCTTACCCTCCCATGCTAATTTTGATTCACGCCAAATCAAGGGGTGGTCACGAGAGCATGCAAACGTAAGCAGCTAGATAGACAGATACGCTCAACGTCGCCTAAGTTCACTACAAAATGCTTCGCATTTGAAATATATTCACACGCAAACTTTCACTATTTTGCCCTTTTTTATTTGAGCGCAAATAAATTACTTATTATTTGATATCCAATATCTCTTCATGGAAAACTTGAATAGCACTTCGTCTAAAGACACGGTGAATGTCACTTTGTTATGTTGAACAGTATCGCCGTACACGCAGCACAGCGAAGGCTTGTACAACAAAAATGCCTTATATTGCTTCCACTAATTTCATTACTCTTAGGGGACGCTTCCTACCAGGCATTAACACCAGATGTCATTGGAAAGCGGAGATCGTAAGCTTTTTGAAGCAACGCAATTCGAATCTATTCGTCAAGCGCAGCAAGCACAGTGCGTCCGCAAAGAATGCGGACGCATTTTAGCGGAGCGGTTGTCGCCTGTGCAGGACCGCCACCTGAGCGATATGAAGCCTCAGTTTTTGGGAGCAAGCAACGATCCACGTGGGCTTTCTGCATCGTGACCCACATGATGATAAGATTGCGTCTGATTTTTATTTTTGCGATAGCAATTATATGGGCCCTCTCGGCTGAATTTTGACTTCGGCGTCGGTGTCGCTATCACTCACCTTATATGTACACGTATCCATAGCATGGAAATGCAAGAAAGAAAAAATATAGAAAAAGACTTCAGCGCCCAGATTCGAACATCGGTCCTCTGAATGCTGAGCGTGAGGCTTTAACCACTGTGCTACCGAGGAGAACGTCCCCTAACGTTTAAACGGCAAGCTATTTATATCAACCACTTACCACTACTCGCGGGTGTCACGGAGGGAACTATCGTTTTTTCAGCAGCATTACCAGCAAGATGGCGCAATGAGCGCGCGTCGCCAGATTGCGCGGCGGTGTGCACCTTTACCTCCCACGCGTACTTTGTCCCGTTTAGAGAAGGGCGAGCGACCCTCCCTCGCGCGCCCTTATCTCACTGTGGGGAAGAAGGGAAGATCTTAGGTCTTGCCTGGCCTCACGCTTTAACTGGAACTATTCTGTTGTAGTTACCGGGCTCACAAAGGTCACTGCAGTCATTGCAGTCTCTGCGAAAAGCGCGTGCTTTTCAGACACAGCGAAGTAACAATTGAGACGCTTATTAGCTTGCATCTGTACCTATGAGTACGTTTCGTGCGTCATCTGTGCGTGAGAAACGCAGGTCACGTTTCGATCTTCTTTTCATTCTGCGCATCACATTCCAATGTGTTGCTATCGCGGTCATTGCTTTGCCTTTGCGGCAAAGCCTGTGGCTTTTAATGAACTCTCGCATTCTGAGCGGGGCGAAAAAAGCACATAAACTGCACTCAGTCGAGAAAACCCGTCGAACATGGAGCGTTGCTTGAAGTGGACATTTCGATAAGTTTTATCTGCCTCTTCGCAGTAACCGCTTTTCTTAGGAGCGCTTTGCATTATGTTCGGCTACATCTTTCTCCAATCCGCCCTCAATGGAAAAGCAGGAAGACTGGAATGTTGCATCGTGATGTTACCTCTTTCTGGACAGTGAAAATTGCCAAACTCAATTGGAGATGTCCTCAAATGAAAGGTTGCGGAAGATCATTTATTGAAAAAAAAACAACATTTTTGTAGTCTATATAACCTATGCCTTACCACTCTGTATAAAAATGGGGAATAAGATAAGGAGATTCCCGAAGAGAGGGATGAAAATAATAACAAAAAGTCACAATACAAACAAATGTAAAATGTGCAGGTGAAGCTGACAGATATATTTGCGACTGAGATGTCACGTAAGTGAAGGTTCTTCTGCATTAAAGATTCAATCACTAAATATTTATGACTAGGCCGACTTCTGACGTGTAATTGAACGACTGTAAAACCTGTCGCTGTTTGAAAGGGTTGGGTGTCAGAGCCAATATCATTTTTATTTGTCGGTTGAGTAACTCTCTCATGCTGCATTACACACGGCATTCAGGTATTATGTGCTATATGGTCTCTGCTGTTACAGTCATCACAGCCGAGATTTCTGGCATTCCCTATGTAACACTTAGTCGAATACGAGGATACAATGTCTTCAGAATCCGAATAAATATACGGGAAACATTTGCACGCACTTCTGAGTCGATACAATACACACTTACGGAACGTATACTCTGGGACGTATACATATCAAGCGAGATGCTATTCACAATTGTTTAATTATTGCAATGAGATCGTGTACCATGTGAAAGCAGTTTAATCATTACAGGGTGTCCCAATTATAACGCGCGTGGTTAAAAAAGAGGAATGGCGTTACACGATGCAAAGCTATAGTGCACTTAGGGACATTTGTCGTTAATTTTCATCTGTATCAGTTGAGGGCTTCTTTTGGCTCTTCGTAGATATTAGTTTTTTTTGTCTTTCACGACTGAGACAAAGAACTTCTTAGAAGCTACGTCGCTGCATTGCACTGTACTTTGTTGCTTTTGGTCTTGTGGCTTGCAGACAGTGAATAACTCATTCTGATTCGGGTGATGGTTCTCGTCATTTCCACTTTTTTGCTTGTATATTACACATAAAGGGTACGGAAGAATTTCTCTAAATTGACACGCGGTGGCTAATTCATTTAATGTATCCGTCCAATGTGCATTAGTTGCCGTACAGGCTGTCTGAGAGAATAAAGAAAAACACTGCAACTTTCGAAGACCAAAATTCATGTGCGCCTTTTTTTTAACCCACTGAAGAACATACCAGAGCCCGCACATATACAACGTATACGCAGAAGCAGTTCTCCGACCACAATTTCCTTCACGCTACAATCACTGAACACGTGCTTTTTTATGGTACATTTGGTTGTTGTGCCCATGCGCTCTATATTCCAGGTGCTGCACTTGTAGGACACATCTAAGTAAACCTTCGCCATCCTCGGGCGACATGATGCGGTCCTATTCGTAGTCCGCGTATTCGCCGCAGGTTTCTTGGTCATACGCCATCACTTGCATGTCGCAGTTTTCCTTGTACTTGTCCGTGCAAATCTGCGGCACATCGTCTTTCACCTTTTTCGTAACCCATAACATGCATTCTGTAGGGGAAAAAAAGAAGAAAATAAAGCACAATAACCTGTAGTCCAGGTACAATTGCGAAGGACAAGAAATTGTTCGGTGGGCTCATTTCTTTGTTACGTAGAACAGATGAAACGGACAGACAGTTGGGCTAACTAAATGAGGGTTAATCTGTCATCGGCAGCCTCGCGCTAAGATTACGTGCCACGTGACAACTTCTAGCAAAAAAGAAAATGTTGCGTAATCGCTGCCTTGTCTACGAGTGGATCTGGCCAAAACTGCCAGAGATGAAACGCACATAAATACACTACAAAGTGGACGGGAGAGCGCTCTCTGCCATAGCTCAATCGGTAGAGCATCGTACGAGTAAAGGGCCATGATATGCAAGTTTTCATATATCATGATCTGAGTTATGTCGACTATTCCTTGTACATTCATAAATAAGCTGGCGAAGCTTAAAGCGTTTGGTCGAGCTCTTGATCCTTACTCGAATATATTTTTTGTTACAAACGCGTGACCAGCATGAGAGTCAGGCAACACTGGTGCTGTCGATAGTCGTGACGTAACAAGATTTCGACAGAAAACAATGTAGGGAAAATCTCCCTGCAGCCTTTATTGGCGCTCTGCGCTGTCCCACCCACAACATGGCATACAATCGAACAGTCAAAACCAACAAGCATCTGCCCCACAACACTTCTTCGTCTTAGTCCACGCCACACGCAATTTTCTACAAAGTGTAACTTGCCTTGTGGTCGTCTGCGTTGTGGCAAACGATATGGCTTCGTGGTCAACGAGTCTCATAATCATATGGCGGTTTTGGAATATTAAACTCCCACAAATATTATTATTACATGCAGCTCATATGATTGCTTTGCTGCCACCTTACCGTCTGTGTCCAAATGAGGCATGCCGAAAATGACGCAGTTCTTGTAGTCGGAAAAGTAGAAGTTTGCATGGTATTCGTGCTCGTAATCTGTGAAGGAAATTCGTGCAGTGCATGAATCAATATACAATTCACAATTAGGCTTCGAGACATTGTTGATGCCACTGCTGCTTACCAATAGACTGACTATATAAATTAACTAATCATCAAGACAACGGCTATCTCGAGTTGAGAAGCTTGTTACACGAAACGCGAGGACTGGAGAGAAATTTGAAAAGTATATGGCACGCAATTTCAACATTACACTAATAAAAACTGAAGCCCGCAAGCATACTTGCGTGAAGAATCGATTCACTGAATGTAAAAAAAATTTACTCCAAGCTTTTGTAGTTCATACACAGAAGTGGGTGGGTAGGGTCGAGGACTGCGTCTCATAAACGACCATAGTATTCGACCACGTATGATGCGGCTTAAAAGGCGAACAGTGGCGGTAGTGTTGTGATGACGAACGTGTTTCTTGAGACAGCACAAGGCTATCGTCACGTCAGAATAATGACCACATCTGCTTATCATTACCCGAATTACCGCGAGGGAAGAGCATATCGCCTGTGCGCTCAATGTTACGGAGCACTGAAATTACGGTGCGCAAACGGTCATGTCCCGTGCTATTTTGTTATATTTATCGAGTGTCTTCAGGGAGCGAGATAACAATAAAGCATAACGCATAGAAAGTTAAAAATATGTAGTCCTAGCACATGTTTTGCAAACACATCTTAAACTTTGTAATTCTTTACTCTCCAGCTTTGAGCCGTCCGGCAAGCCGAAGCTACCAACCGGGTCCAAGGACTTGAAGCGGTCACCTGAGGCACCACCATCATCATCAACGACGAAGGTTGAAGGGAACAGGGGTTCATCCCCCTTCCCCCCGCCCCAGCCGTAGGAAACTGTGGGACAATAAATGAAGTTCATTCATTCATTCATTCATTCATTCATTCATTCATTCATTCATTCATTCACACTTTATTAGAATCCCCTGCTTTGCCTAGAGGCGTCTAAGCAGAGGGTTACAGCATGAAAAAAAAAAACAAGCATTCGTTGGAACAGTAGACTCGGTCACAAGGTAATGAATTTCCCTCTTGTACAGTATGAATACAAAAAAGAATTAGCATAAAGGCTCGTTGCAGTCCAGTATTCTTGAATCTTAAGGTCATGGTCGGATCGTATAGATATAATATTTTGCCCGCCTTCGTTTCTTTAGAAGTTACATGAGTAATCTTGCCTATTTCAGCAATTAATTAGAACGCAAACAGTAAGACTTTTTCTATGCAAGAGTCATCAACAAGCCTTCGGTAATTTCGTTATAAAGTGCCCCAATATATCTTAAAACTGTGGCTAGATTTAGCTCGGGCATGGATTACAAACTTCGTGTAATCCCTTCATGATTACAAACTTCGTGATCGGGCACCCTGTATATATGAAACGGTTAACGAGATATTTCATGTTTCAAGCCGCAATCGGGAAGACTAGGCAAATACGTGCATAGTAGAAAACTCCATGGCGATGATATCCCGCGTGGCAGGAGTCACGTGGCATGCCAAGGTCACGAGCTGCTGCTGAAAAAATTTATTTACAGATGTTATTTACAGGGAGGGTGGGAACGGTCCTTAAAGGGCCGCCCCGTACAAACACTAGGTGAGCTCCCTCTTACGGGAGCCCATTGGCGTTGGCCGCGGCCCGGGCACGCTCGACCAGGGCCCGTTGGGCCGTCAGGTCAGAGCAGCCGAGCAGGGCTGCCTCCCAGTCCTCCCGCGAAGGGTAGGCTAGTGGGGTAAGGTTTGGGGTTTTTTGGCACGCCCACACCATGTGGAAAATGTCAGAGGAATTTTCTTCACAATGCGGGCACTTCCCCGTACAAGCGGGGTCAAAGTGTTTCATGATTGCCGGGCACAATAGAGTTTTAGTATAAAGGCGAAGGAGGATTCGCTCCTCCACCTTCGTGAGGCCCTTACAGGGTTTCGGATAGACGTTATGGCCGGATTGGTAAAATTGTGTGACCTCCTTAAAGGTGTAGGCGGGATTGGGTTCGAGTTCCGGATCGGTAGGGGACGAGGATGGTGCCTGGAGAGTGAGTGCGCGGGCGGCGGCATCGGCCGTCTCATTACCATCGAGGCCCGTGTGAGCCGGAGCCCATATGATCGTTCGGTGCGCGGGGGCACCTAGGTAGCTGCTGTTCTGCAAAATTTTGTAAGCACGGTACGGAATGTATCCTTGTTCAATATTGCGACAGGCACCCCTTGAGTCGGTAATGATGACCCTCGAGTCCTGATCTGCGTGGCTAGTGCGATGGCGATCTCCTCCGTGTGCGTAATGTTATGTGCACGGAATGTGAGTCCGTTTACAACGGTGTTTTGGTGGACGACCGCAGCCGTGTACCAACCACCGTGGTGCGGGCCGGAGGCGTCCACGTAGAATACTCCGAATTTGTGGCCGTAGTGTCGAGCCAAGGCTTCCGCCCGCGCGAGGCGTCGGCCACTGTAGTCGTCTCGGGTCATGTTAGCCGGAAGAGGGCGCACGTGCAAGGAGTATCGCCAAACTTCTGGAATCCGTACGCGCTCTTCCGTCTGTGTTGAATGATTGATGTGTAGCCGGGCAAGGAGGCGGCGACCCGACGGTGTTTTAGAGAGTCTAGTATATTGGTTTGTCAAGTGCGCCTCTCTCAGCTCCTTGAAGGTGTTCACCATTCCCAAGCCCAAAAGGCGCTGGTTAGAGGTGCTGACAAGAAGGTCGAGGGCGCTCTTGTAGATTTTGCGGAGAATGAATTCGAGTGCATTCTCGTCGGATTTGCGTAGGTGGAGGTATGGAGCCGAGTACAGGACTCGGCTGGTTACGAATGCATGTGCCAGCCGCAATGCATCTTTGCATCGTAACCCCCCGCGCTTGTTGGAAACCCGGCGGACCATCCGGCTCACCTGGTCCCCCACCTTACGCAATTTGGCCAATGTTGTGTCTGCTCTGCGATTTTTGTGTATAAAAAGCCCCAGTACTCTAATCTCATCGCGTTCGGGTATTGGTCCGCTGTGAAGGGAGAGGTCGATTTTTGTGGTGCACTTTGGTGAGGGGCGTATGTGCACGAATTCCGATTTGGACGGGGAGCACTGAAGGCCGCAGCGACGGGCATAGTCATCCACGATGTCCGCCGCTTGCTGCAGGCTTGCCTCCATGTCTCCTGTCGAGCCGTGTGACCCCCATATGGTGATGTCGTCGGCGTACAGCGCATGCTGTATGCCTCCGACTTTCGCCAGCTGAGCGGGGAGTCTTATAATTGCCACATTGAACAGGAGGGGTGAGAGGACCGCTTCCTGCGGAGTCCCTCTCGTGCCTAATCGGTAAGGGCCGTGTTCAATGTCCTGAATCCGAATGTATGATTGTCGGTCAGTGAGGAATTGTTTAGTATAGTTGAAAGTGTTTTGGCCGCAATCCACCTGTGATAGATGTGTTAGAATAATTTCGTGGGTCACGTTATCAAAGGCCCCCTTCAGATCCAAAGCGAGCACAACTTTGTCATCCAGGGGATACTCGACTGGATCGAGGATCTCATGGTCGAGCTGAAGCAAGACATCTTGCGCGGACCGGTGTGGGCGGAACCCGAACATGGTGTCTGCAAATGCATTTTTGGTCTCCAGGAACGCGCACAACCTGTCGCGCACCATCGTCTCCATTAATTTTCCCACACAAGAAGTAAGGGAGATGGGTCGGAGGTTGTCCGTGTTAATGGCTTTGCCCGCTTTGGGTATGAAGGTGACCAGGGCGGTCTTCCACTCGATTGGTAAACTTGTTTTCCCGATTTAAATGGAATTGATGTAGGCAAGCAGCATGGTGTAGGCCGAGTCAGGAAGATTGGCAAGTAATTTCACGGTGATTTTATCCCTTCCCGGTGCCGTTCCTCGCCTCATTTTTGCTAGGGCTGCCTTCAGGTCGTGTAACTGGAACAGCTAATGCAGCTCCGCGTTCTCGGTACCTGCATACGAGTACGCCGGCCCTCGGGAGTCCTGCTGTGTGCATAGATATTGGTCTCGGAGTTTACATGCCAATTTGGCTGTGTCTCCATCGAAGCTGTGAAATGCTCGTTGCAGATGCTTTTGTGTCTCTGTTCGAGTTTGGGTCGGATCAATCAAGGCGCGGAAGAGGCGCCAGGTACTCCGGCTGGACATTTGTCGAGCGGCCGCGTTGCAACGGTCCACCCAGTTAGAGTCAGCGAGCTGGGTCGCGTACTCTGCTGCTCGCTGGGTGAGCTCAGCGATGCAAATTTTGAGCTTTCGGTTGTGTTTTTGCCGGCGCCATCGGCGGACGAGGCTGCGCCGGGCCTCCCAGAGGTGAAGGAGATGGTTATCCACCGCGGGAGTCGCCTCGGAGAATTTAATTTGTGTTTCTGTGGAGCGTAATGAGGAAACCAGTTGCTGGGACCAAGCATGGCATCCTTGCTCCTCAATGGGTGTCGAATTGGCGTATATTTGCCGAAACTTCGTGTAATCGGGTAATTTTGCCTCTCCGTAGGGTCTTGCCAAAGAATAGGTGTGAATGGTAGTGTTGAGTATGCAGTGGTCACTGCCGAGGATCTCCTCAGTGTTGACCCCATCCGCATACAGGATGTTTTTTCTGAGGGTAAGGTCCGGACATGTGTCCCGGGTCACGGAGTTACCCACGCGAGTTGGGTAGACAGGGTCGGTGTGAAGAGTTAGAACCAGCGTGGACATAAGTTCCGCCAACTTACGTCCACGTTTCTCTTCACGTGCATACCCCAAGAGTGTGCTGGGGGCATTAAAATCACCCACGATCACCAGAGGGTCCCTGCCTGCAGCTTTTAAGGCGCGGCTAAAAAGGTCTGCGAATGTAATGTTGCTTAGTTTCGGTGAGCAATAAATGTTTAGCACGTGCAGTGGCGGGTCCTGTTTACGCAGCGGAAGGAGTGTCACCATCACGTACGAGAAAGCTGGCTTAAGGTCGAGATCAACTAGGTTGGCCGTATAATTTTTGTGCACGCAGATGCAAGATAAAGGGTCCTGCTGAAACATAGTATAGTTTGTGAGTGTGGCAGCACTCCCTGGCTCCTGGAGGGCTACCACAACAGGAAGATTTTGAAATGCTGTGAGGAAAAGCCGAAGGTTGGCGCGCTTAGTGTGAGCCTTAAAGCCCCGACAATTCCACTGGGTGATTTGGATGGGAATGGCCGTATTGGATAGGTCACGAGCCGCGCGTGACCTCGGAGTCGCGCCTTTCTCAGAGCCACGTAGCGGAGCGCGCCCGAGGCAGCGAACGGACTCCACGCGTGTACGTTACTATGATGACGCACGTGCGAGGAGGCTCCGCTTGAAGGCCAACCGCACACACAACAACGTCTTCCGGCGTTCTATCGGGATGATTATTGCACGATCAACTTGAAATCGGACTGAAACTCTATTTTCGGACTGGTAGAATTGACCAGAGTCGCAAGCAGGTAAGAGTAGTGCCCACTAACCGTCATCCATCGTGTAGGTGCTCGTGTCGAAAGTAGGGCCTGGTTTTATGTGGAAGGTGACATTCCTCCTGTAACAAGAGGAAACACGGAACACGATAGCTGTACGCATGTCTCTACACGTATGTCAGCAATGTGAGACTTTCTTTGGGGTTAAGGTTATGGGGGCGAAGCAGTAGTCACGGTATGTAATGTCATCACGGTCTGTCATAGACAGAGAGAGAGAGAGAGGGCTGCGTTATATATTGAGGAAGAGCATTGCCTCTGAGAGAGACTTTTACGACATGCGCGTCGCATGAGTTAAGTCACAAGCTCTTGCGTTGAGGCTTTGCGACGTCGGCGTCTCATGTCGTCACACTTTGTCTTGCAGCATTATTCGATTATATGAGTTGCGAAACTCCCCGTAGGCTCCGTGTATCGAAATCCAGACACGCCCTTGCCCCCCTACTGACAATGAGTAGGGTGCCTTGATGTGCGCGCCCACCGGGGCACTCTAGAAAGGAGCAGATTGTCGTGCCACCTATTAAATATGACACCCACAATTAAACGCATTATTTGTGCTTTGTATTGCCGCTTCCAGGTGGCGCGAACGTCAGCTAACACCAGAACAATTGGGCAAACTGCGTGTCCGGATTCTTGAACGCAGTTTCACCACTCGTATAATTGAATAACTCTGGTGTCATGTAGTCCCGGTTACTAGCCGATAGGCGCCACAAAAATGAATAGGCGCCACCGGTCCACCGAAAATGAAGAAAGCAATAGCTAACCAAACAAATAGCCATTGACATCAGTGAAGCTGCAACACCCTTCTTCACATGCCGCACGGAACTGAAGCCGGCCACGCAGAGATGAAGGAGAATTAACAAAAAGAATAAGGGTAAGCTGCAGCTCGATGCAGCTTTCCGACGACGTTAGCGGGACTGAAACACCGTTGTCTACATGCCCGTTTTGAGGCTTGACACCACTATTTCCTCACCGAGCAATATCTCACAAAACATGCATGATTGGGCCCTCTCCGGGTTTCACTTTAGTGTAGCTAAAAACACCCTTGCTCCCATGCTTCATTCCTCCCCAGTTTTTTTGTATTGCACTGCTTGTGAGTTTATCCGAGAATGTATAGTCCAACATTTGCTCGTGTTTAAAGCATAGTAAACTTTGCTTCAAGACTAAAACTATAATAAACCAAAGTACTTCGAATGTAGGGGCTTTAAACAGCACCCTCAAAAAACAAGTGTTTCACCAACTATAAGTCACAACATATTTCCCCTTCTTTGTCAACAAAATGACGTTTTTTTAGTTTAAATGAATTATTCAAGTAATGCTAAAACATCCATAAAGCTGTGTGCAGATAACTGCGTTCTGCAGAGCAGAATAACTGAAGAAGACGACAAATTACTTCTCCAAGCTGATCATAATGTTACAGTGTCTAGAAATATACTGTATATTTCTAGACACTGCAGTGATACCGTTTCTGATTGGTGCAATACGTAGTTATTAGACCTTAACGTAACTAAGTGTAAAAGCATGACAATCACATGTTATTCTATTACTTCGAAACTTTTCAACTACACATTTATAGGAACTAAATTGTAGCAGGTTAATAGCTACAAATGCCTCGTTTTTTACATAACAAATGATCTATTGGGTTAATCTCACATTACATAGATTATTAACAACGCTAACCGTTATTTTCGCCCTCCGCCTTCCCCCCTCCATTGCTGCACTAAGGACCAAGGGCTCTTCAAGTCAGCACTTTCAAAACACTTTATGGTGTAACTGCAGGCTACTGTTCCATGCCTGCGCTTGTATTTATTTTTTTTTTTGTTCCACTCCTACGCTGGTCTTTCTCACTATCGTGATTTGTTGTATTTCCTTCACTGCTGTCATTATCACTTTTGGAGCGTTAACATTGTGCCCACCCCTTCTGTAACACCCTCTGGATTTTGAGGGTATACTAATAAATATACGAATAAATAAATACTTCGCTGCCATGGCAGCTGCTGGAGATATGATCGAAACACGAAAGGTCACAGTTTCCCAGCAAGGACGAAGCAATGAATGAGATAGCAGTAACTTGTAATGTCTCGCGAAGAACGGCAAGCAGCTCGAAACTTGCAGCGCGCTGCTGAAGCTTGAAGGGCTCACAGAAATCACACATACGAGACGAGTGGGAACTAACAGTTGTCACAGCTCGGCATTTGCAGAGCGCTGCTCAAACACAGAGGAAGGCGCACAAAAAGAACGCACATGTACACACAGTAGAACAACCGTTACAGTTATTACTGTGACAGTTGTTCACATAGTCATCTATAATATAGTATAGGATACTATAGTATAGTATGGTGTAGCAATGGGGTAAGGAGGAAGTGAAGGAGGAAACAGAGAGAGTAAAGCAAGACATAAAAGAAAAGACAACAAGAGAAATAGAGAGACCGAAAGGCATATAATAAAAAAAGAGGCAAATACATAGAAGCAAAGAAGTAATCATTTTAAAGAAGTTTTTTGGGTATTCTCGCTTGAAAAACATCCATTTTTTTTAAAGCAATACGCGAACTATCCTTGGGGATCATTGTACTCTCCTCGGAGAGTCGTGGGACTCACAAGAAAGTTAACTGGGTTAAAGTCGTCTTATACATGGCAGAGGAGAAATTACCAAGAAGAGTAACACATCATTGTTTTTCCCCTTAGAGTGAAGAAAGAAACAAAAACTGAGGGAAAGAGAAAGAAAGAAAGAAAACGAAGAGAAATAAATAGATATATACTCAGAAATTGAAAAAAAGAGGAAGTGATAAATGGTAGGAAGAAAGAAATAAAAAGAGAAAGAAAGAACAGACTGAGAGACAGAAGAGAAAAGAACAAAAGAAATCGAAAGAAAACAGGAAAGACGTGCATGAAAACAAGAGAGGAGAGAGAAAAAGAAAGACAGAGGAAGAAAGAAACAGAAAGTTGCCAAAACTGACCAAAACAGCATCAGCTATGACCATGGTGCAAGAATACTTTAGGTGACTCTGGGATTATCCACTGCCCGATAATGTTCTGCTTCGCAATGAGCCTCAAAGATGGCGCTAAAATTTTTGCCCCGGCTCCCTCTTTCTCTCTCAGTTTAGGAAAGTCCTGTGACGAAAGGAAGTAGCGGCTCTTATTTATCGTTTGTCTTATTGTCGTCACAACACCCTCGTCGCGCCGTGAACCTCCTCTCTTGTCAACCCCCCTTTCGTGGCACCCGGGTTGATATCAGATGATAACCCGGTTTTCTCAGATATGGAAATCGTCGCCCGCGTGCTGGATGTGCTTTGCGCTATTTGCCAGCAGCCCGACATGGTCCTCAGTGCTGCAAGCCATCTATCGGCATGCCACAAACGAGAACATAATCGGTCCCTTCCAGCAAAGCGCTTGCTCCGCGTCGTTTGCTCACCTAAAATATTCGTGCACTGTGGCCATGACTACCAATCTCATCAGCCCCGTTGTCTTTTTAGCATTAAGCATCCAGTGCAGGCTACGTTAATTTTTTGTCTCCTTAATTTCATGTAAAACTTTACGAAGAAAACGTGTGGTTCGCGTTTCGCTTTTTTTTTGTTTTTTCATATGTGTGTTGAATGTGGTCTTAACTGAAACTGAAGGAAGGAAGTGACAAGATGGAGAGAGAAGTGGCCGTGGTATGTTGGCCAGCCTGTACAAACTGGTATGCTACTGCGCCGTGGTGAAAGGGACGGATAAGCTGGAAGCATGCAGAAACGGATACTTAGTAAAGAGAGTAGGGGATGCACGCAGACAAAGTCCCTGGTCCTCACAGTCACGACATCACTATTGACTTATAACTACCTGTGCAAGTCTGTTGTATTTAATAAACGTAAAATTGCCTTAACAAATGAATCCAGTAAAAATTACGTGGTACTTGTTCAGCCCTCTTTGTCGTCGGTCCTTCTTACGTTTCGCGCTCAGAGCAACTATATTACAATGACGTGGTGAGAAATTTTCTGATCTTACGGATTGTTTCCTTTGAACATCCAGACGTAGGTGGCGCTCGGTTCGCTTTTGTCGAATTGTGTGCGTATTGCGCTGACACAGTCAAGGTCTCCGTCCTGGTCCATGTCGAATATGGCTAGAGCAAAAGGAAAATTCTCGAATACCTGAAAACCAAAACGATGCAACTGTGGAAGTCAATAAAACTGAGGGGAGGGGCACTTTGTTAAATGCCGTAGCGCACATTGTTCCATGATGACTTTAGCGAGAACGATGTGTTAGCGTCCTCTATCCCGCTTTCGGAAAAATTTAGGGTGTCGCCGGTATGGCCGTAAAAAGGTGAAAATTGATAGAAGACACAACACACGACTCACGCACTGTTAAGAAAATGTAAACAAAGGAATGCTGTATTTAATTAAAAAAACTAGGTTACAATTATTACTCGCACAACCGTTCAATTCCGAACATCGCACAACGCACAACCGCTCAAGTCGCTCGCAATTCGCAGACTCTCGTTCGTTCGCCGTTCTCACTGCGTCTCTGGCTCTTCCCGCGCTTTCTCGCTCTCCTCTGTCGACCACAGATCCGAGTACACATACGCGCACGCTGACACAAAACGTGCACGCACCACACACACACACACACACACACACACACACGCACGTGCACAAATTGTTCCACGAAGTCAGTGGGAGAAGTCCGTCGCTTAGCCATTCGGGGAAACAGTGTCGAACGTCCCACAGGCCACGGATGCACAAAGGGACATGTTTCTCTCTTCTTGCACCCGAACTGGCAAGGTGCATTAAAGCGGGCCGCCGCCTTTGTGCTGACCCGGCGCCCGCAGGTCTGGGAGGCTCGCCGATCGCTGCTGCCCGTAAACAAAGAGGACGGCCCCCCTCGAGTGACCAACGGACACTCGCACGGCACAACAGACGCAAAAAGAAAGAAATAAAACAAAACTTACAAGATTTGAGGCAGTCGCCTACACTCGGTCGTCCTGACTGTCATTAACGTCCTCGTTAATGGAAAAAAAATCATAAACAAACCCACACGCCAATACACAAACAGAATTGTTTCCTTCGTCGAAGAAGACAAGAAAAAAAAACTGTTTAAGTACGCACAGTTCACTCGGTAAATCCCGGCACGCACTGAAGTTCTCAACAGACGCCAACGCAACTATGGCGCACTCGCATAGGGATGGGTCTTGGCGCAGCTACGGGCCGAACGTCTCAGTCGCTGCACCTCACATTCGGGGGCGTCCGACTCCTCCGCAGACTCTCCGTCGTCATCAAGGTGTGAATGCGTATTGGTCGTTGTCCAGCACTTCAACTGCGACACGTGCGCAGTGGTCGCGAAGCGGCTCGCCCTTGTTTCGTCAAGGTCGGCAACTCGATACGTGTCAGCTGGCAACACTGCCGTGATTACAAGGGGGCCCCTATATTTTGGCTTGGCTTTGGCAGGCTTTCCCGTCTGTTCTGGAGCCCTCGTCATGAAGACCACGTCACCGACACCGTACATTTTAGCCGGGAAGTGGCGCTTGTCGTAAGCAACCTTCATCTTCTTCTGCTCGCTCATGAGGCGCTGCCGTACACGTTCGCGCAGCCCGCCAGGCTCCTCCCACTCTGACGCTTTAGATTCAACCAAGCGCTTCAGTGCCACGCTGTGAAATTCCGGTCGATAACCGTGTAACATCTCGAAGGGAGTCTTCCCAGTCGTCTTGTTTACAGCGTTCTTAAGCTGCACTCTGCCTCACTGAGCTTTTCATCCCAATCTCGCTGCTCTGTATCGACCATCGATGTAGTAATGACTGGGCTCGCGTACTCGGAATTCGTCTCAGTTCCGATTCCCTCTCTTTTGCACTCTCCGACGATGTCACGTATAGCCTCTCGCTTTGCTGCATTCGTGCGGTAGGGCCGAACAGCCACGGGTGCGCTACCAGGTATCTTCCGTATGTCCATCGAAAGGGCAGGTGTGCAGCCAAGTTCACTGAGATTGGCGGCGAAACAATCCCGGTACTCATTTAGGAGGCACGCGAGCTCACGACGCTGCTCCTCTGTTACGGAGGGGCCCATTTTAATTTCCTCGCACTCAATCGGCCGTCGCGCCTCCGTAACCAGAATTTGCTCTGGCTTCGCCGCGCTGCACTCCTCTCTGCACTCATTTATTTCCTTCATCTCGCAACTCGGGATGTCCACTTCAGTCGCGTGGCCAAGTCTTCGTCCTTTACGTAGAACCACGTCATCATTTCCGCTCGCAAACACCGGCACAGTAACCTCTCCGTCCTCCATGTCAACAAGAATTTCGCGCCCACAGTTGTTGAATAGCACTGCACCAGCGACGTTAGACTGCGATGACAGTCTCACCCAATTTATAACATTGGCCTGCAGTGGGGTCTCTTCGGCAGTTTTCAAGCGTAATTTCGGACATGAAACGAAGGGTTCGAGATGTGAGAATGGGCACTCGTCTCTATGCCAGAATTGCAAGCTGCCGCCCAGCTTAGCGTAGGTCACATATGGCAGCTCGGTAAACGTGCGACCGACAAGCAAATCGACCGACTGGGCCTCGTCGGGTACAACAAGTATCTGTATGTTCTTGCCAACGACGCCATCTATCAGCAAGTCGGCCCGGCACCTGCCAACCGCACGAGCAGCTGGAACTCCTTGGCTGCCGAAACCATACAGAGCTGTCGCATCTTCCAGCACTTCCGCTCCGCACCGCACCGCCGCTGATTCGCGCAGTAAGCAACCGGAACTGCCTGTGTCTATCATGCCAATCAAAGTAACATTGCCATTCCATTTAACGTGCTTCAGAAGCACGCCAGGGTCAATTTTCTCTCCAGAGACAGCGTTGGTCTCATTTCTGGGGCCTTTTGCTTGGCAGTGTTTGTGGGTATGCCCAGTCTCCCCACATTTTAGACATTCTTCTATTCGTCTTTCCTCTGGGCAATCCCGCGAAATGTGTCCAAATTTGAAACAATTATAACATTTTGGCTCACCGTACTGATTTCTGACGGCTGGCCGCTGGTCCCGCCCGTCGTACCCGGACGCACCCTGCAGCGGTGCCTTGGGTGCAGGCTGCATACTAGGTGCATCGCTCGTCGCTCTTCGCTCAGCCGCTGTCCCGAAGCGTTCTCGTCGCTCACGGTCGATCCTCTCAAATTCCTGAATGTCATGCAACAGGTCATCCGCGTCTTCGTGCGACCTTCCAAGAAGCATCGTGCATAACTCCCGCGATCGGAGACCGATCAGCACCTGCTCCCTCGTATCACAGAAATCTAAGTGCGCCTCTCTGCAAAGGCGCACCTTCTCGTGGAAGTACGCAGACGTGTTCTCATTTCGCTGCTGCATTCGCTCTTGCATACGCCTCCATCGCTCCGCCGCCCGTGTCTGGCTGTAGAAAGTCCGCCCGAACATCCGCTCGAAATCGTCCCACGATAAAATTTCGGCAGCTCTCGAACGGTACCAATCTTTTGCGGCGCCGACCAGGTGACACTTGGCAGTTTCGAGCAGGAATGGCGTTGGCCACCGGTGAAGCGTAGCCGTCTGGCGCAAACTTTCCATCCATTCCCGGGCTGCTGACGTGCAACCATCACCGGAAAAGTCTGGAATATTCCTGCTCAAATCGGGCATCACCTGAAACGTGTTGATGGCCGCCTGGTGTGGAGCCCCCGACGGCTCCGGCTGAGGCAGCCGCCGCAGCAGGTCCGCCAACAAGCGGTCTTTCTCGCGCAAAGCGTCGAAAAGTTCCCGCTTGGTGAGCCCAGCACAGTCGTCGTCATCACGGTGACCACTCTCCTCCGGCGATGATCCGTCCAGCATGGCTTATGTTAGCTCTCTGGAAGTGCCCGCTCACTGGAAGCCCACAATTTCTTTGTTCTCACACTGACGCAATTGAACGCACTCCTCGCTAAGATTTTCCAAACTCGTTCCGAACGTTTTCTAAAATCGGTCAAATCCCACTTCTGATGAATGTTAGCGTCCTCTATCCCGCTTTCGGAAAAATTTAGGGTGTCGCCGGTATGGCCGTAAAAAGGTGAAAATTGATAGAAGACACAACACACGACTCACGCACTGTTAAGAAAATGTAAACAAAGGAATGCTGTATTTAATTAAAAAAACTAGGTTACAATTATTACTCGCACAACCGTTCAATTCCGCACATCGCACAACGCACAACCGCTCAAGTCGCTCGCAATTCGCAGACTCTCGTTCGTTCGCCGTTCTCACTGCGTCTCTGGCTCTTCCCGCGCTTTCTCGCTCTCCTCTGTCGACCACAGATCCGAGTACACATACGCGCACGCTGACACAAAACGTGCACGCACCACACACACACACACACACACACACACACACACACACACACGCACGTGCACAAATTGTTCCACGAAGTCAGTGGGAGAAGTCCGTCGCTTAGCCATTCGGGGAAACAGTGTCGAACGTCCCACAGGCCACGGATGCACAAAGGGACATGTTTCTCTCTTCTTGCACCCGAACTGGCAAGGTGCATTAAAGCGGGCCGCCGCCTTTGTGCTGACCCGGCGCCCGCAGGTCTGGGAGGCTCGCCGATCGCTGCTGCCCGTAAACAAAGAGGACGGCCCCCCTCGAGTGACCAACGGACACTCGCACGGCACAACACACGCAAAAAGAAAGAAATAAAACAAAACTTACAAGATTTGAGGCAGTCGCCTACAGATGCAAGCAGAAAACACATGGATAGAACTATGATGACAGAGAGACTAGGTGCGAATGCCATATATTACCCAGCTTTGCATCTCGTTGAATAATACTGTACGAGGGCTGACGTGCTAACTCGCAACGCACTGCATAACACTGGACAATATAGTTCTGTTTCGACGTATTGTTCAATATTTTGCAGCGTTCCACCTATTAGGACATTAGCTCACACACATACCTGACAGGGTTTGCATCGGCGCCTAATGAAAAGTAGATATCATTATCATTCTTTTGTCAATACCAATACAGGCACATGAACAAATAACACGGTAGATAAATTTAGAGCCATATTACGGTTTTTTTCCAAAATAGGGCTTATGGTGCTTCTAGTCTTTCAAGGTTAGTCTAAACATATTACACTGTGAGTGTGAGTAAATAGGGAATACATTCCCGCTTACTATTTTGAGTGTCAGGCGTCGTTCAGATATCAAAATATTTTCATCAAAGAAGGGGCCGATTTGCAATATAATAACTTATATCAGTGCGATATCACCTCAGATAATATATGTGGTGACCGCAATTGTCGACATTGCTACACCCTGATTCTACTCGATGGGGTAATTGCCATGAGAGGCCGTTATAGAACGCGCACTTATGTAATACTTGGTGCTCACCCTAGTACACAAAAAGCAGAGTATGCGTGATCTTCCATAGAAGGAAAATTAGCTTCATAATATTAGTTATATTAGTCATAATAAGTAGTTGTTAGTGTTTAAGTTAATGAAATAACCTTATGATCATGAGAGACGCCGTAGGAGAGGCTCAGAAAACTTCGATCACCACGTGCTTTTTTAACGTGCACATAAATCTAAGCACACGAGCTTCGAACATCTTCGCCTGCTTAGCTTTATGTAGGAGATATCTATCCCGCTATAGGCGTGCACAGAGTTCTCAAATAAGTGCGATAGGGGAGTCGAAGGGGGAGGGGGTCAAGCTTGCAGCCACTCCTCTTCTCGCCCTCTCATTGGATGAGCCCGATATAAGAGAAGCCCTCAAGGTGGGAGCGTGCGGAGTGCTCTCCTGGGCGCATAGCCGAGGCACGAAAGAACAAAGGAGTTCAGTTGAACTGATGGGTGAGAGTCCTGATGGCCTCGATGTGGTCATAATCTAACCGGCTAAATCCTCGGTGTGGTGGCGTCGTATGTAGCAAAGGCCACAACCCCTAATCCATGCACCGGTGGGTCAGCCGGCAACATTGCAAGCACTGCGCAAACTGCGGCGGCAACGGCTGTCATCACCACGTCCTTCGGATCGGACGACAAAGCTGGCAAAGTGGAAGGAGGGGATGAGGCCATGGTTGAGCTTGACGAGGCTGCAGGCGCACTCGTGGAAGGGGGGGGGGGGGGTGATGTACTACGTGGTTTGGCCCCCAATGATGAGGGCATCGCGGAAGGAAGGTCTCTGAACGACGGCTGTCCCTCCCCACTTGTCGGTGTTGTTAACAGCGATGCGGGCACGCTCTAGTGCTTGGCGGCGAGTCACGGGGTCGTCTGACGAGGCGAGAATCGATTACTACGGCGTTGCGCTGGAGCTGCCAGGAGGGGTAGCACGGCTCGTTCATCTATGGGTTTCCGTTGCGGATGAGGCAGCGTGAAGATGTGGTGGGCAAGTTCCCTAGGCGTGGCTTCCACCGCAGCGGAGGCCGCACTCGCCACGTGAGCAGGCCGCCATGGCATGGCTGAAGCGACCGCAGTAGGCGCACAAAAGAGCGGCTGTCGAGGGCGGTCCGGCATCTATTACTTGTACAGAAACACCTCCGGTGGAACCGCGGTCCCCTAAGAGGTAATTGTGAGGTACCTACCTCACCAGACACAGGAGACGTTAGGGACGGCACAAACGAGATTAACAGCGATGTCGTCGGTTGCGACGGTTGCGTCGACGCTTTAGACGATGCCCACGCAGCTGTTCTCCACGGGGAGTTTCCCCCTCACGTGGATCTCGCAGAGCCGGTCAACCTGAAGGAGAGGTGCCGGATCGGTGAGGGATAAGATGTCGGGTGGCCGGGAAGGCAGACAGGAAAGCCCCAATGGCTTCGCGGGTTGCAGTGAGCAACGAGGAAGTAGGCCTCATTGCCAACTGGGCGAAAAAAGATGGTGCCGCCACGCTTTTCGCCCCGCTGCAGGAGAGGCTGGCGCCTGTGACGCGGGCTCCGATTGTGTGTCAACATCCGGCTGTTGTGAGAGGCGAGGAGACGTGGTTAAGCGGAAGTCGGGGACGCCAGTTTCCGTCCATGTCGTATCCAAGGTGTGTGGAGATGACGGTAATGGTGTTCGATGTTCTCAAAAGGAACTGGAATGAAAGGATTCTTCCGTCTCTTAAGATTTCACTCGAGTTGGCGTGGCCATGAATGAGTGCTCTTCTTCGCGCGCACCAGAAGGCGAGCTTTGTTGTGTTGCAGCCTAAGGTCATGGCTGCTTATCGCGGAGCATTGGCGATGCATCGTGAAGTTCTTGCTGCTTCGGGTAGAAGCCAGTCTTCTGATTTTGGTTGGCCCGAGCATGATACCGAAGTACAGGTGGTCTCATGCCTCGGGTAGCACTTAGAAGGGCTGTGCGCCCGATGACGCGCAGCAGGCGTCGAAAAACAACGCTCGGGAGGGAGCTAAAAAATCACAAAATATCCACGGAAGAATGATGAGTGGGATGAAGCGTCCGTCAGTCTCTCCGCGCTTCTGTCCGTCCAAGCTTCTGTAAGTGCGATCATCCGTGGGTCTATCCGGGGGGGGGGGGGAGGTGTTTATTTTTATAAGAAGAAGAGAAAAGTGAGCCCCGTAACGGTCTGCATCAGGGTGTGACACCTCAACAGTAGCTCACAAGGGATGTTGGTGAGGAGAGATTAAAATGATAGGAATAAAGGTGTAGAGAGAGAGAAAGAGAGATGCGCTAAGCCAGCAAGCGAGGACATATTGAGGGGATAGGAGAGATAGGAAAGATGGAGCATGGTCACAGGAGTCCAAGGACGGCGCACACTTGCGAGAGCTCTTGTCGGCGTCAGGAGATGGCGTAGAGCAAGTCCAGTAGGTCAGAGCTACGCTGTCGTCTGAGATCGGCGTCAGGAGATGACGTAGGGCGAGCCCAGTTGGCCAGAGCTACGCTGACGCCGGAGATCGCGAGGGCACAACCAGTCGGCACGGAATCCAGCGAGCGAGATGGGCCCATCCATCCATGCGTTCATTCGTGGATCTGTTCGTGCGTCCATCTGCCCGTCCGTGTGTCCACCCGTGAATCCATCCATCCGTTCGTGCATTCGTTTCTGCGTTCGTCCGTGCGTTCATGCGTCCGTCCGTCCTTGCGTCCAGCTGTGCGTCCGTCCATCCCTCTGGGCGTCCATCCGTTCATTTGTGCATCTGACTGTCCATCCGTCCATCCATCCGTTTTCATGTGTGCCTGTCCGTCCGTACATCTAGTAACACTCCAAGTACAGCCATCTCGCATCTTTTCATCATATATTCATCATGCAGAAGGGTTACCAACCAGCAGAAATTCGAAGGAGTCAACAAGAGGTGGCTACCTACTACTACTACCCACATCGTGGACGCATGACCCACCGCGTAAGGAGCTTCGCCCCTAAGAGGCAGCCGTCTCTGTTGAAAGCTCAACTCGTTCTCCGCTCCCTTCCTGAGTGCTGTTATCTACTTGAACGGTAGCCAGGATCTCTCCAGGCAGGAGTGGTCTCTCCTCCGGCGTCTGCACATCGGCCACTCGTGGTCTGCGTTCGACGTCATTGCCTTTGCAGAGCCTGCCTGTGAGGCACGCCAAATATTCTAGCATCTTCTCTGTGCGTGCCCCTGTTCTATACTCTAATCAACGCCTTCTTTGTATCTTAAATGCTAGTAAAACGCGCGCTTATCAACGGTAGCCGTCAGTCCGCATTAGTTGAAAGAGTGGTCGTGATGCGACGCCACGTGAGGGGTGGGGCTGCTTGCGTCACACGTGCGTCTGAACGGTTTTCCACATAGATGCAATACACGTACATCCCCCTCCAATAGTGTGTGTCTGTGAAATTTGTTCCTTCATACTCCTTTTTTTGTGGCTCGAAGAAAGTATTGAGGGACTATGCTCGAAGTAATGTCGTGGCCACCTCACAGTGCTCTTAAATCACCGCATGCAGTAGTGTCACAGTGACGATTCCCCAGTGACCCCTTGCTTAGCGCTATGAACGGCGGCACGATATATCTCAAAACAACGTAACTTTTACAGAGCTAATGGGACCGACAACATTGTGAACACGAAGAACGCAAGACGTCAGCCCACGGGTCTGTACACAACTGAATAATATATAAGTTCAGACGATTTACATCATGAGGCACTACATGATGGATTCTCTCCCTCATGACCGCCAAGCACACGCAAAGGTTAGGCGATGGGTGAGAGCAGAAAAGAGCTAGAGGAGAAGGTTTTAGTAGTATATTTTAGTACTTTCTGAGGTTTCTTCTAGAAGACCATATAATGTTTTTTCATGTGTGGTCGTCCGGATGTCATTTCGTGAAGCTTCTGGTTTATCTTCATTCTTATAACAGTGACTTCTATTTAGTTTTGGTTTAACAAGCAACCGAAAAGGAGGCGCAAGGTGTCACAAAAATACGTGCCCTGGCGACGAACGCACTGGCTTCTAATGAAGGATGCAACAGTGGCGAAATATGAATTTCGACGATCCCTTCACTAGGTTATTTAATACATAAACAAGAAAGTAAATCGTAGAATAACGTACTGTGAAAGCAGTGGCGGTACCATGCACTTTTTCACCCATTATTTGCGTCAAGAGCGTCGAGTAAAAGGCACAAAATACCAGAGTAGCACAATACCGACTAAGCAACCGCATCTTGTTCCACTAGCTCACTGCAGCATTGGGTGCAAGGTGCTGTGTGTGTTTATATACAGGCTTCTAATCTCGCCCCTTTTGCCTCTTTGGGTTTTGTAAAGTGGCTCCATGTGCAAGCTCGCACGTTGGATGATAATAGTATCGACAATGCCGTGGATAAAAAAAAGTAGTAATCCCGACTCAATCGTAATTTTTTTAATCGATGCAGGTGCAAAAGCAAAGTTGCTCGACGCCAGTTTACGAGAGGTTCCTCGTCACTCCGGTTTTTCTTTTTTTTTAATTTTCTAGCTGTATTCTTGGGTTCGCCAACGTTGTCGCTAATGACTTGGTAATTAAACCGCAGGCCCTCACACCCACGCACAAATAAAATTATCCCAGAAGAGGATGTGTCAGATTCATTAACTCATATCTTGTTTCAAACTATATGATTAGCTGCCACGTACGAAATGACGTGCCGTGAGTGACAGATGGTCGGCACGTTAGAGGCATCTCTTTTACGACACGGGGCTTGCTTTTGGTCTATTTGTTCATTTCGACCCCGATTGTACTGACCTGGTGTGAGGCCAGGATTGTTTCTTCGTGATGTGCACAGTACGATCACACGAAGCGCTAGCGGGCGCTATGCAAGCTGTAGTGCAATTTATTTACGAACAAACGGCAGGCAATCTTCTTTGACAAGCGGCCCCGCCATGGTGGTCTAGTGGCTAAGGTACTCGGCTGCTGACCCGCAGGTCGCGGGATCAAATCCCGGCTGCGGCGGCTGCATTTCCAATGTAGGCGGAATTGTTGTAGGCCCATGTGCTCAGATTTGGGTGCGCGTTAAAGAACCCCAGGTGGTCAAAATTTCCGGAGCCCTCCACTACGGCGTCTCTCATAATCATATGGTGGTTTTGGGACGTTAAACCTCACATATCAATCAATCTTGGACAAGCGCACATTCTCCTTTTTAAAGTTGCCATAACTGACACCTTCGCGAGTTGCGTCATGCCATTCACACGCCACATGTTCCACCGCAGTTCGTGACTCCTTAATAAGACCGTACTGCGCTTGTATATCTTTGCTTCTGTTCTCTGTGCGCAGAAATCTGGTCATACAAGAAGCGAATTCAACAAGAGGGTTGCTTTGTTTGTCTGCCATCTGCAGGAATTTTAACATGGTAGCGTTAAAAAAAGGTCATTTTGTGGAAATTCTGGTGTCGTTGATTGCGAGCGAAAAATGATCATTTTGTATGATCGAAAAATTGAGAAAAACGCAACCAAAATAAATGAATAATGAAAATTTCCGGGTTCAATTGAAAATAGGAAATGCCACCTGCGTGGTAAGCAGTTGTTCTACTAGACACCCAAGTGTTTCTCTTTCTTTAAATCATGATATTGACATGTTCCATTTCCAAAGTTTTGTTATCGTCCCAAAACGGTACACAATTCTCAGCGCAAACTGCGCCTGCAGTTTTAGAGAAGCTTCCGGACTTTAGTAGATCATTTCGATAAGATCACGTCCACTCTGTGAAATGTACAGATTATTCTGGAACCTACGCCACCACCAGCGATAATGCTAGAACATTCAGATGTCACGGGGTCGTGAAGTGGACGAATGGAGCACACTACGACTCGAATAATCAATTGTTTATTTGGGCGATCCTGTGCCCACTAAACGGAAAGTCGGACTACAGTAGCAGTCGTGGAGTGATAGCGGCGAGTGGAGCATCGGCCGTCGATCAACTACTGACAAGCGGCGAAGTGCGTCGGCATTTATACTCTTGCCATTGAATGTTCTAGCGTTATCGCTGGGAGTGGCGTAGGTTCCAGAATAATCTGTACAGTTTGCAGAGTGGGCGTCATCTTATCGAAATGATCTGCTAAAGTCCGGAAGCTTCTCGAAAACTGCAGGTGCGGTTAGAGCTGAGAATTGTGTAGTGTTTTGGGGCGATAACAAAACTTGTGAAATGGAACGTGGCATTATTTAATAGAATGCGTTTTAAACTAGTACACAGTATTGAATAGATTTACACTTTTGCAGTTCCACTGCAACAATACATGTACGAGCTCTGCTGAGAAAAAAAACTCGAAGACTGATGTTATATATTGTGGGGTAGTTCTTCATAAAGTGCTGCACACAAAAAAACTAGTGAGGCTAAGCACCTCGACACGATGGGGTGCTAATCCGACCTAAAGTCAAGTTGATCGTGAACATCCTTCAAGTGAATAGCCATTTGGATGAAATGTGGGTGTGAAGAGGTGATCAGCTCTGCGTTGCAGTCTTGCATACGTATCTTCACAGACTGTATACAGATTAGGAAGCCCCGCCGCGGTGGTCTAGTGGCTAAGGTACTCGGCTGCTGACCCGAAGGGCGCGGGTTGGAATCCCGGCTGCGGCGGCTGCATTTCCGATAGAGGCGGAAATGTTGTAGGCCCGTGTGCTCAGATTTGGGTGCACGTTAAAGAACCCCAGGTGGTCTAAATTTCCGGAGCCCTCCACTATGGCGTCTCTCATAATCATATAGTGGTTTTGGGATGTTAAACCCCACATATCAATCAATCAGATTAGGAAAAACATGTCGGACAGGGAGACCGCCAGGTGGCGCCGTCTAGTTTGGCTGATTTTTAATGTCATGATTTTTAATGATAATGAAGGTTGTGAGCTTAGGATACAGGAAGTCACGCTAGAGATAACAGATAAATACAAATATCTGGGCGTCTAGATGGGCAATAGGACTGAGTACCTAAGGGAACACGAAATATACGTGACGACTAAAGGTAACAAGAATGCAGCAGTGATGAAAAATAGGGCACTGTGGAATTATAATAGGTATGATGTTGTGAGGGGAATATGGAAAGAGTCCTGGGCTGACGTTTGGCAATGCGGTCTTGTGCATGAGATCAGAAGTTCAAGCAAGATTAGAAATTAAGCAACGTGGAATAGGTAGGGTTGCTTTAGAAGCTCACGGGAATAGACTAAATCAGGAAGTACAAGGTGATATGAGATGGGCATCATTTAAGGGCAGGGAAGCTAGCAGCAAGATAAAATTTGAGAAACGATTGAGAGAAATGGGGGAGGAGCGTTGGGATAGGAAGGTTTTCAGCTACTTGTACATGAAGAATGTCGATACGAAATGGAGGAAGCGAACCAGGAAATTGACTGGTAAATACTTGGAAAACAGCAAGGGCCAAACCAAAAAGAACTATCGGTTAAGAAGAAGGTGAAGAAAACAGAGACTGACATGTAGAGAATTCGCATGATTAAGAAGTCCGCATTAGAGATCTATCGAACCTTTAAGCAGAAAATTGCGAAGGAAAGGATCTATGATAATACTCGGGGTAGTTCTCTACTGTTTGAGGTCAGGATGGGAGTATTGCGAATCAAGACATATCGGGCCAAATACAAAGAGGAAGACACAGTATGCAGTGCGTGTGGAGAGAAAGAGGAAACTGCCGAACACTTGATAGTGTTCTGTAAAGGGCTTCACCCTATGGTTCAAAATGATGGCACACAGTTTTTCAAAGCACAGAGGTTCAGAGAAAGGAAGGGCAAAATAGACTTTAAGGGGGCAAAATTAACTAGAAGGAGGTTATCTGATTGGTGGCTAAAGTCGAGGCACGAGTGAAAATTCAACCATTCAAAGCAAAGTACCAGTATTCACATCACTATTTAAAGAAAAAAAGACAAATCTAGTTGTTGGTTCACTAAGTAGTACGGCTAGGTGGCGTTAGCCGCCGCCCGATCTAAAGGGTACAGCCACATCCATTCATCCATCGATCCAGCTCCACACAATGCTCCGCTTTCACGTGTTCTTGGCCCGTTACCAGGCCCTGCCCGTGTCTAGACAAGCTCACTATTCCTTCTAGAAATTTTCCGGGACATGCCGACACCACCCGGGCCCCGGTCCGACGCCAGGCTAACCCTACAGGCCCCTTCGAAAGTACGAGGTGGCGCGGCACTAACCCTAGTGCACCGCGCCGGCACCTCCGCGATGAAGCGTCCCGCCCAGCACTCGACACCAACGACAACTGACGCCCTGTCGGTAAGCCCAGCCTCCTCCGGTCGTACCCCTGATACAGCCGTGCCTCCGCTGTCAACATCTGGCTATGTCACCAGCCCCGCGCCGACAACAATATACAGCAACAGGCAGTGTTCCTCAACAGCGCGCATGGTGCAGCAACGTGCAACGCTGGCAGCGTGTCTGCTTTTCCCAGCTTGATAACCACGCAAACGCCGGAGCCGGAGAGCCGTAATGCAGCGTTGGCGTTGTCATCAACCTCGCCTGCTTCTCTTCCCACCGTATCTCCACCTGGCCTACCCATCAGAAATTTCGAGTCTTTCGACAAGCGCGTTTAGACGAGCATCGTTCCTTCCATCACTTCATCTCACGACTCATCGACGGAAATGGGCTTCATGGCATCGCAGGTCAACGAAGACAATACGCCACCCCCTGAAGGCAGCTGGAACACCATTAGTGCCAATTGAAAACCTGCCTCGACCGCCCGCCCTCACTCCGAGCTTATCACCATCGGAATCCAACTTCCACCCGGAACACTCACGCCGAAACTGCCTCTCCACGACCTGCTTTCTACCATCATAGCCGCCGCAAATCTCTGTCCCAAGACCAGTGCGGAGGTCACCCTTCAGGCCAAACCTGCTCAGAGCCTTGTGTTTCTGAAAATGCACTCGCCCCTCACTACCCACCTGCTACTGTCCCTTACAAGTCTGGAGCTTAACGGTAAGCCGATCACCATTAAGACCTATGCCCCCAGTCCTCCAATATCATGACTCGGCGTCATACACGACGTCGGTGGTCACTTCACATCATCTCAGCTCTTGCATGACCTCGAATCTTTTACTTCAGACATACTCGCTGCACGTATGATGGGCTCCACTGACTCTGTCCTCGTAACATTTGCTGGAACCGTCATCCGTCGCTTTGTGTATTTTAAACGCGTCTCTTTGCGATGCCGTCCACATAAACCTAAGCCCCCTACTTGCACTTCGGTGCCTTTCTATAGGGCACCGTGCTCATCAAT